TTTTCCATTGAGTTCAGAATGATTTTTATCAATTTCCTTGATATTTCTCATTTATATTTTGTCTTTAACGGACAATGTGAAATATTCCGTTGAAAATATACGGAATTGCCTAGCTTTCCTCTATGTATTACATTAAATTTAAACAAGTCTATAAATCTTCTGCTCAATTACTCAACGCGACATTTTCTAATAATCAGTCTCGTTTATTTACTCAAATGCAACTTTGAGTGCAGTTAGCGAGATTGCGAATAACACAATATGGGTCAATGTAGCTGTTTATCTCTAATTATTAACACAGCGTTTTTGCAAGTCAATTGGCGATAATAACATCCTAATTCAGCATCTCAGCTTCATTGACAAGGAGCCTCTCGTTTATTTAAGAAGTAGAATAAACAACGCAGCGTGTTTGTGTATTCATCAAAACAAACCAGAGATAAGGAGTGCTTTCGAATTAATATATTTCATCTCGTATCTAAAATCGATTGTTAGTAATGGAAATGACTTGTTCGGCTCCCAATTTGGATTGGCAGTGCAATATTTTTACGGGATATGAACTGTTATGGGAAATTTGTGTGGATGGCTTTCGCCACGGGATTTCGACGTGGCATCAGGTGGTATTTTCAGTGAGAACGTCTTGGCTTAGGGATTTGTGGAGATGGAAAAATGTTGATAATGTCTTAATAGACAATGGAGAAATATTTCATGATATAATTAATAATAATTTACATTGTTATTGTCCTGCTCCTTGTCACATTCTCAAAATGTGAATTCGTCACCTCCATTAAGTTGCCTTGTTCTTTGGTGGGCAAATAATGATGATGATGATGAGTGAGTATTGTTGGCTGGATGAGAGAGAGACTTTAAGCAATGCTGCGGTTGGAGTGAGAAATTCAAATTTACTCCAGTTCTCATTTGCATGAGAAGATTGTCAAGGCGAGATGGAGCGAAGCTGTGGAAAGAGAGAGAGAGAGAAAAATTCTGGACTCTTTAAGTGCTTTTCGGTTTTATATCCGTAATATTTTATATATACAAAATTCACATGAAATACCGCGCGACGATGAAGAAAATTGGGATGAGGAGGACGCGGAAGATGATGGCATGTGGGACAGGAGGGGGAGAGATCGACACGGAGAATTATTGGGATACCCAGTGAGATTTCGATGAAGGTGGAGATGGCATAGTGTTGTCGGGTTATTTACCAAAATTAACATATTTATGGAATAAAGTTCCTCAATTCAATACCAAAATCAACTCACTTCGCCGCCCCTCGGAGCACAGGCTCTACACTTCCCATTTATTACTCCCATTAATACACAATAACAATATTATAGGAATGTAATTATTTAACACTGGGGAGAGGACATTTCTTAATTTTTAATGGCTTTTAATTAATTTTTATTAATCACTCTCCTATTATCATTAACACGGTAAAATCCACTCTTCGCATATCCCACTGATAAATGACAGAGTTTTGTCGCCAGTTGTTTTGCTGACAGTGAAAAAGTGATATTACAAGCATATTGCCCGGTGGGGTGCTTCAAGAGTGGCACCGAGGTGCAATTTGGGGGTGATAATGATTGAAATCTGATGCATATTTGAGAATCACGAACTTTAAATTTCCCTACAATATCTTTCTGTGACACTCTTCTCGTCAATTCCGCAAATAGAGATGCGAATAGTGCTGTGATAGATCAAATATTGACTTCTCGTACTCAATTTTCCACCCTCTTTCTACCCAATTTTACCACATCGGATTTTTCTATAAATCGTGCTGGATTTAAATTGAGTTTGAGGTAGACGTTTCAGAAGAGAGTATTGGATTTCCAAGCATAGTGGAAAATGCAATTTTCCTTCCACAGATAAACTGAAATGCGCTCATGGGACCAAATAGTCACACCGTAGAAATGGGATGAGAAATATCAATAATCATTACGGAATGAATCTAAAAGAATATGTGGAGCTTTTGTGAGGCATATCTTATGAGTTCCATGCAAGATAAATGTCGAGTCATTAGTGACTGGAGTTTCAGAAATAATTACTCTATTAGACAGATAATATGCGGTATTGAATTGAATCTGAATAGCGCAAAGCGGTGGATTTAGTGCTCATATGAGGTTGAATTGTAGGGAGAAGAAAAGGCAATTTATTGTTCTCTTGTATCTCCATTTGGAAGACATTTTCACGGCGATGTTTGTCTATCATTCCATCCACTTCTTGCACATGGTCATTTAAATCAATTCCGCTGATCACAGCGTGAAGCGCTTGTATTAATTGTTCATTATTAATATGGTGTGCCCCAAGAAGTCGGAGATTTGTTCGGTGTGTTGTAAAGTAAACACCAAAAGCTGTTAGTTAATCGAGTGTCGGCCTTTTTTCTGCCATCGTCTTAATTCACTTCGACTCAGAGGGCAAAAATGAAGCGCCGAGTCTGGACCGACGCGACGAAAATCAATAAGTGAGTCTTCCACGGTACACCCGTGTATTTGAGATAGGAAACACGCGGAAAAAATATAAATAATAATCATGCGACGATGCCAAAACTAATTACCATAAAATTTAATCTCTTTTTTCTGGCCTTTTTTGCCGATCAATCCCACGGTTGGGCTACTCGTGATGGTGCGATAGTGCGAATATTTCCATCTCAATATAACCCTTGTCCGTGTATTATCATAACTTGTATTGGAAAATTATTCTGAGCACTTTATTTGAGGCTCTCTCAGTGGCTATTCGAAGCATTCGAAATGGTTTTTGCATTCATAGAAATGGAGGGTTTCGAGCTATAGATTGCAATTCTTGTTTTACTGCCTATTTGCAGAACTCAATATCATGATGGTTTTCAAATTTCAGTTTTAAAGAATTCTGACAAGTTAAGCAATTACTTTTCTACAGCCTATAGAAGGTTAAAATTATGATTCTTTGATAAAATTTTGCTCACGAAAGTCTGCTTGCGATCTCATCAGGGAGCAAGCGACAATTAGATTGCCGGAGTTTTGATCACAAGAAAGTGTATATCTACACCTTTGGGGGGCCTCGATGATCATCTTGTTCTCTGGCATTAGTGTCATTATACGTGATTTTTTCCCTGTTGAAATATTGTTGGCCTTTTTGTGCGCCTTTTCTTCCGCCGCTGATCATAACAAATGGACAGACGCGCTGGAATGAGAAAGAGGAAGAATTTGTTGAATGTATTATTCATCGCAATGCACAGGTGTCATGTGGGAACAGAGTGGAGTTCCGATTGTCGGCGGTGGTGCCATTGAGGAGCCCCCCGGAAAAAAATCAATGATTTTGTCATGCTTATGCGGGTTCGCCTATTTTATGTCTGTTGCCTTTTACAATTCATTGATGTCCGACATGAGATATACGACGCGATATAGAGAGAGAACAAAATCGATTTATTGTAGAATAGTATCATGCAAATTTATTGTCATTGATTGTATTGTGGGGACACTTTTTCTCACCATTCCATTTATTCCCATATTTCTCTTCTCTTTGGTCTGAAGAGCCTCTATGGGAAAAAACTATTTGATTATTCGGCGATTCAACAAGGAATCTCTTCTAATGTGCGGCCTTTTGGGTGAAAGCGCTCCACGATGAAGCGACTGATTAGAATTGACGTATCTGATCTTGCGAAATTACTCCACAGAAACCAAAAACGCTAAAATGAATATTCGCTGGATATAAAATACCCCTAATTGAGTCCATTTGTATGGAAATTCATCAGCTAATGTTACTTCATGTCTTGATGCCATACTTCTCAATTCATTCTCCAGATTTTCAACAGCTTTTTGCCGAGACAACAAAGTCACACATTTTTTCATGAAGTAAATCTGATTTAATCATTGTTTATCACCTTGACTGTGAGAGATGTTGCAATGTTTTCTATAAAGAGGTTAAATTTCACAGATATTAAGATACTTGAATTATGTCCGCTTACAGCGATTGCTGATTCGTGCAGCATCTCGGCTGGTGTCTGCGTAAAATCAATTTACAATAAATTCGGCTATTTCTGAGGAGATAATCGATTAAATGACTGAATTTATCTGCTGCACGTTGCGGACAAAAGAGAGGCTGGCAGAGGATGAAAACAATGGTCATTGAGATTTTATGTTTTGCCCCTCGAGCATCGTGATAAATGTCTCGATGTCAATTAATTGTATTTATAGATTTAATGGTGAGGAAAGTGAGAGACAAACACACCCAATTGAATACTCACCCACTGATTCCCTGCCACTAATGAAATATTGTTCTATTGAATTTCAGGTGATGTGACTGAAACGACAATGGTGTCATAGTGTGGCGCTATTTTTCCGTGCATATACACATAAGTTCGTCAGCGAGGCGGCGAACACAGCTGGAGTGGGAAATCAGAGGAGATCTCGTATCTGAGTGGCTTCATTAACCGGATGCCTGTTTGGACTAATGACTTCAAATGGTGTGTACTTATGCTACCGACTGTTGTGCAGAGTGAGTGATTCTCAATTGCCGCACTGAGAAGGGAAAAAGGTGAAAGAGGGAGTGTGAGACAGAATCGCGGGTGATTTGGGAAGATATAGTTGAATTGTGTGACAGAGAGAGTTACTAGTGGAGGCCCAATTGCCGACAAAGACTGTCTAATTGGAGGTACACGAATACTGTTGTTCCGACCTATTGACTTATCGGACGATCGGAGTTCCAACATTATCTCAGACGTAATGTTGGTTCTCAGTGGTGGTGGAAAGATGCGCAAGAAGAAAGAGTGGCGATGGTGTGGTATTTTGCTGCTGACAACGCTTCTGGCAGCAGTTTTGGGCTCTGAAGATGCCACACAGACGCCTCTTGCGGACTTTGAGGTGGCCAGGAATGCCTTGTCTCTGGTGCTGCCGCATGACACATATCCTGGTTATACAATAAAGCAGCTGGAGCCGTCGAATGTGACTTCCTTGCATCAACTGACGCATGGCCAGACGCTCAATTTCCGACTCCTCGAGTCCTCCTACTCCAAGTACTTCACCGTCTTGGAAAATGGGGTGGTGATGACAACGGCAGATCTGTCGCCACTTGTCAATCAACCAGTTCACCTCACGGTGCTCGAGGAGACGCCCAATTCAACGGCCACGCATCACTTGCAGCTTTTTGTGATGGACCGAAAGGATATGTTGAGGTTCCCAGGAGCAACTTTAGACACCGTGGGCGAGGTTATGGAGAATCAACCAGCAGGCGTACCTGTGCAGGGAATCCCTCATCTACAGGCCAATTCCGCCAGCGGCAGCAGATCCATCAGCTATCATATTATTTCGGGCAATGACGAGGGCGCATTTGCCCTTAAGGATCTGACAACGGAAAAGGTTGGCAACATGATATCCATTGGTGAGGGTGAGAAAACCGATGGGGTGATCTTGGTGACGACAAAATCTCTGGACAGGGAAGAGAAGAAAGACTACACGCTGACCATTGAAGCTGCAGATTCGGAGGGTATTAACAAGGCTATTGCCAAGATTGCCGTCACTATTCTGGATGTCAATGACAACCGACCCGTGTTCACGCGCCCCGAATACAAATTCTCAATGGCTGGTGTAAAGAGCAATGATCTCCATGGGAATTCCTCAGTTTCCTGGCCAAGATTCAGTCGATTGGGACATGTTGAAGCGAAAGACGATGATGGAGACAAAGTAGCTTATAAGCTCCTCACGCCCAGCAATTACGTTATCATAGTGCCACAGACTGGAGAACTCCTCTTGGCCAATGAGCCTGATATGCAGGAGATTCTTGTGGAGGTGGAAGCTCATGATCTGCGCTCTCCTAGTCTGTCAAGCGCCAAACCGGCACGAGTTCTCATAGAATTTGTTGCTCCTGAGCCCATACCCATGATTGTGCAGCATCTCAATCATGACGCCATCAATCAGCACTCGCATCGTCGTGATAAGCGTCGTGTCACGCGAGCAGTGCGTCCAACAAAGCGAATTGAATTTACGGAGTCCGATGGGGATGTCGATGGGAAGATTGTGTTCCAGCTAGAGAAGGAGACGGACAGGGAGACGTTTAAGATTCGCGATGAGAACATTTGGGTGGGCGTCGAGGCGAATGGAGCGGTGAGAGTGAGGAAGAAGTGGGACTACGAAGAGTTGGGACCCGAGAAGACCATCGATTTCTGGGTGATCATCACAAATTCCGGACACAATGGTGAGTCCATTTTTCCTCATTATTATTCTCTATATGGGTTGCGGTTGCATTTCCATGGATTCGTCAGAGTTGGGTAAATTGTCTACATGAACATTAGGTCAATATTTAATGTTAGAAGTTATAAGAAGACTTTCTTGAACACTATAAAGTGTAAATGAATGCAATAGCAATTTTATCCTAATTTGTTTTAATTTTTAAGGCGAAGAGTTCACAAGCTTCACTGTTTACTGCAAAAAGTAGTAATTTGTTGGTTATATAAATAAAAAAATGAATTCAGTAAATGGTTGTCATTATTTAACATTTATAAATATAATATAATTTCTTTTCACACTGATATTGAACAACATATCAATTCTTGGAATATTCGACACTGTTCCGTAGACAATTCACCCATCGCTTGTACAGAATCATCTCATTTCTCTCGGGTGGGGTTTTGCTTGGGTGATGAAATACATAGGGTATCTGGGAATGGATGAGAAATCTCAGGACATTTTCGGGCTTGGCGAAGAAAAAAGTCATCCAATGTATCAGAAATTACGCCTCTTGGACGCTCTCTTCTCGTCTCGAATCCATGAATAACAATTTTGTCCAGGAATGAGAGCACTCCATTGTATGGCCGCTGGTCCATGGGCAAAATATCCAATTTGCAACATGAGATTCATAGATGATTATTATGATTTATTTATCGACGCAGAGTTCATGGGAAATTTTCGTGTGGGACCCACCCATATTCACCACTTTTCACCCTCCCTGTGTTGTGTATGTGTGAGTCGCTGACGACGTCATTTTACGCTGCGCCTGGCACATGGCATCGCCAGCCACACATTTTCAGCTCGAGCCTCTCTCGGGTTTCACAGGGGAGCGAGCCACGGAGTGAGGAACATCTCAATGCTGCACTCACGCCCTTATGTAAGGTCGACTCATTCAATGTGATTAGTGGCATCGAGTAAGAAGTTAGAGACCTCGTAAAAAATGAACTATTTCATTATTACTTCTTAACCCATCTGCGCACAAAACCCTCCATGGTTTTGCTGAGTCCGAATGTCGAAAGGGTGTCGGCTGAAATTGTGGGAAACACAACAAACAAACCATTTTGAAATTCAATTAAGCCCGGTGTGTGTACTCAAAGGGGGATTGCAAATTGAAGTTAGAGAGATTGCGAAGCTCATTTATAAAAGGGAGACGCATTTATTAATAAGCGGTGTTTTGGACTAATTTGTGTGCAAAATGTTTTTAGAATAAACTGAATATTTTAGGCTGCGAGTGTAAGTTGTTTTCATGGTATTTGCAGGTTCTCTTAAGTTAAGAGATGTTGTCTTTAAATTAATTAACATTTGAATTATAGCATTCGACATACATTATAAAATGTCAAATTTGCAATTTTCATTAACGATTGTTATTTCTATCATTTTTTTTAATTACATATATGTTTGTCCCTTATCTTATGCAGCCAAATCTTTGTCAGTCACTTTGATTCTCTTGATGGGTTAAGCTTTTCTTTCTTTAACGAATCCCGTGGATTTACGCATGTAATGCTCTACACACTTCATTTTATGAGTATGCGTTGGCATCGAAAAAAGGGGTTCTTCAAAAGGTTAATCCCTGAATTTCTATTCAAACCTTCCAAAGATCATAATTATCGAGTTCGTTTTTTAATGGCCCTACGCTTTTGATTACTTCAGGGTCTTGTCCCTCATCTGCTGTTGGTTTTTGGCCATGCTCAACAATAAATTCATTGATGGGCTGCCGAGGGAATCTCTCTCACTCTCCAGGCGTTGATGGTGTTGTCAATTCACTTTCCTGAGTCTCCTCTTTGAGCTTCGTATGCAGCAGAATTTTGTGCGATGAATTGCATTATGAGCGATGATAGAGGAATAATTCACTTTCAATTAAGGCGTAATTGTGAACACTTTACATATTGGTAGAATATGAGGAGAGGGTGTTATAAAATGGAATTAGATCATTATAATGTAGTTGGAGGAGAGTTTGTGTAGTGGCGTATATTATTTTCAGAGTGGGAGAGTGACATAAGATAAATTTTACGCCTTGCTAACTCCAGATAAAGTGGGGAAAAATGTATAGGAAGTTCCTAGGAGAGCTGAAAGGATACCACGGTAATTAATAATAATGAGGAGGACAGTGTGTGAATGAAGCGAGTTCTTGTCTTGTCCATATTTCACGGTTCTGGAGAGATCGACTTGTTTTTCACTTTAGTTTATTTTGCAGAGAAATATGGCTCAGAAAAAAAGTTCCGAAAATACTTCTCAGATCCTGTACTTGGTCGCCTCTTAGCTCTATCTCTGTCGTACTTGTATTTCCTTCCCCCAGAGATTTTTATTCTCAACTTCCTGTTCTTTCACGTTTCTATGCTTTTCTCATATTGTCCAAGGGAATATACAGTTTTTTTTCTGCAGCTCCGCAGGGTTTATGTTTTCTTCGTTGGCATTTTTCTCTGGACCTCTATTCACGGATTTGCCGAGAGGGAAGTGTGAGGACTTTTTTCACGGCTGTATATATATATATACTTTCTATTCTTACTTGTGCAACTCCACGACGTCTTGCCATCCACTCTGCTAATCTACGTCTCTGTTTTCCTTATCTTCTCTGCTCTGGCCCTTCTGTTCAGTGTGAAGAGACTGCCGTGTGGATGATGTATTGAAAAGAAGTTCACGAGAGTGAGAGAAAAGAATGCAAAGTGAAAAATCAGCTTCCTCAATGGATGCTGGAGGTTTCTTCTACTTCTCAATTACATCAAATTTACCACAAAAAGCCCGCGACCGGCGCTGCTCGAAGGCTCGAGGAAGACAATGTGGGCCTGCTGAATATTATCCGAGTTAATAAATTGGTTGTACACAATAAGCGTGAATGATTTAAAAGCAAAAATGCCTCTAAATAGACTTTTTTTTCTCCCCACAATGAAATCTATATATGTGAAATGGAAGTTAGAGTGTGACTGGGGAATGTTAATTGAAATCGAAAAGTTCCTAAAGAGTTTTCTATTAGAGTGTTGTCTCTTTTAACTACGATCAACATAAAGGAGAATATAAGTATGTACATATGTACTGATAAATTGAGGATGGCAAAAGCGCAATGCTGTGAAATCTGAACTCACGATTTTGAATACTTCCAGACAGGAAATAGACCGGAAATTCAATTGAAAATATTACTTTTATCCAGTTTTATCGCAGTATTCTGTGAAGTTTGAATTCCTTATGTTGCTACTATTAAGTGAATTTGATTTTTTCAAAGAATTCAATTGTTCTCAGGCAGATTGAAGTGCAACTCATTTGCTGAAAATAGACATTTCGATCAAGTTGTTAGAATGTCCGTTCAGTGTGAAAAGAGTTAGGCGGAATTTCGTGATGCCATGCATGAAGGAGTAAATGTTAAATTGAAAACTGTGCGACAGTCGCACAATTTATGCTAATGTTGGACAATGACTAAGACCATTGAACTGCACCGTGGCAATACCATTGCGATAACGAGCCAGAGTGGCCGTATGGCACCCAAATCTCTGTGTCTCATGTATTAATGTTGGACTTTAATGTTTGTGCTGACGAAGCGACAATTGATGTAGTGGGCGTGAGAAATTCTCGATCTGCATGTCATTAATTGCGAAATTGCAAAATAGCCATGAATTTATTCGTTCGACAATTTCCATAAACAAACTTGCATGCTCCACATGTGCGTCAAGTGCCTGGAATTGGAGTGGAGTAGAGTGGAGTGGAGAGAACGATGTCCAATTGAGGCATGAGTTTGCAAGACGGCGGAAAAATGTATAACATTTCTGACAATGATGACATGCAGAAGATACTCTCGGCTCCTCATACAATTCCCAACGAAATGTCCCGCCGTCAATTTCAATAAAGACGTCGCCTAGAATGGAAAATTGTGGGCCACATACTGAGGCTTCCTCGAGAGATCACCCTCCAATCTCATTCCTCTGCCACAATGACATGTCTGACGTCACAATGACTGCTAAATGACTCTTCACAGTGCTGCCCAATGAGGGCAAGGATGGAGGGTGAGGAAAAGAAACACCCAGTGACACTGAGGCATGAACATGTTTATTTTCTCAGCCACTCTCCATCCATCTTACATGGGATGATATCACAGCAAAGTAGATGATAGTGCACTTTCTCACCTCAAAGACATTCCACTGTGACTGGACAAGATTCGACCTATTTTTTTTACACTCCTCTGTCTTTCTTTCGTACGTGATACTACACCGAATTCGAGAGGTAATTCCACCGGCACGATTTCCACTGTGTATAATTATCTATGAATTATTACGTGCGGAACTACCTAAATATGTTAATTACGCCATGGAGTAATTATGCTAATTATTATCTAATGTCAGGAATAATTTTGGAAAATTTATAATTGCAATAAAGGTACTATTTCTTCTTGGCCTTTTGACATTTATTAGCTGGATGAAAGCACGAATACATTTTGTGCACCTATAATAAAATCATCTAAAAATGTAAGAATGAAAGTGTGAATTGACTCAAATCAATTGCATTGCGACATATGTGACTCTGTAAATATGCTTCGGGTGAAACAGTTTCATGCTCAAGGAGTGTGTTACAGCAAATAATTGCGCTCACGCTTGATTGTCCGGCAGTGTATGGTTTCGTCATGTGGGTGCGTGTGAACATTTAGCCATATCCATGCACTGTGGCCTCAGTCAATTAAAACAGGACCCCTCTTCGTGTGCCGCCTGCTCATTGGGATGCCTCTGGATTAAAGAGTCATTTTCGATGGGCCGAATGTCAGCTCAATTCCACACATCATTTCATTTCTCACACGCAAAATAGCCCATGGTGTGTGCGGAGTGCTGAGAAGATGGGAATGAAATGGGCATCTCTCGATACATTGGCTGCGGTGGTGAATTGGAAATGATGATGATGTGGTTTCAATTTTGCTATTACGGAAGAAATAATGTGTGTTCCCTTTCATATTGTATCATCTCATTGTACCATCCATGGGAGAATGATGGG